TCTAAGATGATTTTACCTCTGGACAGTGCTGGGATGGGCCTAGGGCTGAAACACTGCTGACACCCAGTTCTCAGGCCCCCAAACAGCTCCAGGCCCACCTACTACCCTGTTCTGGAGGGTCACTTCCTCCCTCTTTCTCCTTCTCCACCTCCCCCCACCTTTACAGGCCAAGCAGGGACCACTCTCTTTTCTTTACTGATAGTATTTAGAACCAGACCCCCTTCTGCTCAATTCTGCAACCAGTCAAGAAAATGCCAACTAAGTTCTAGACAGGACTGCTTACAATAGGGTCCCTCTCACCCTCTCAAAGATCTGTGAGAAGAATTCAGGGATCTGGGAACTTGGATGAGGAAAAAATTACTTCTTTATTTTCACAAACCTCTAACTGAAATTTAGCATCTCCCCCATTATGAACACAGGCTACAAACCCCAGGAGTGTTATTGGTGCCCACGACACCATTACACACATTATAAAAATCATGGATTATTTTCCCTATCACTTTACAGCTGTTGCAGATATTGCTGATGCTCATCCCTATTTTACAACTAAGGTGATTATTAAGCTGCCTGCTAGGTCTTGTTATTTAACATGCTAATAAAGAAGAACATATATTACTATACCACACATTTAATTTTTTATTATTTTAACTATCTCAATATAGTTGGTTTCCTTTGTGCTCCAACGTATTTTATTTTATGCATTTCAAAGCTTTATTCCTAGTAGGGTGGCACATGATGACACCAGATGTCTCCAGGGGTCCATGCTGCAAGAAAGGTTAAAAACCCTTTCCTAGAATTTTAGATTTCTCAAACTGGGTTCCAAAGGGCCCTGGAATTTTTTTTGAGGGACTGGAGCAGCAGCCATGAGGGGTGGATGCCTTTGGTCAGAGTAGCTCCACTTCTATTTGTTTTCTCTTTGGGGTTTCTGTGCCAGCTTTGGTTTGATGAGAGAGTCTTGTCACTGCTCTAACGCAGGCCCCCTGTGTGCAGGCTCTGAGAGCGGCTTGTCTGAGGCCACGTGAAGAGCTTGTGGTAGAGTGAGGACGAGATGCAGAGGTGGAAAGATGTGGTCTACACACACAGTGGAATGTTAGTCAGCCTTCAAAAGGAGGGAAATTCTCAGACATGCCACAATATGGACGTGCCTTGAGGACACTGTGCTAATGGAAATAAGCCAGTCACAAAGGATGAAAACTGATGATTCCACTTACATGAGGTCTCTAGAGTAGTCACATTCACAGAGACAGAAAGTGGAATGGTGGTTGTCAGGGGCTGGGGGCGGGATGGGGATCTAGCGATTAATGGGGACAGAGTTTCAGTTTGGGAAGATGAGAAACTTCTGGAGATGGGTGGTGGTGATGGTTGCATGACCATGAGATGTACTTAGTACCACTAAACTGTACTCTTGAAAATGTAAGTCTGACAAAGCCATGGCCTCACTGGGGAAACAAAGGCAATCCCAGGAAGGGCAGCTGGGGCCCAGCCGGGAGGTGGGCATCAGTACGTCCTCCTAGTTCTGCAGCAGGGTGGTGGCACTGCCGGCCCTTTGTCCTCACTGCTGTGTCCTGCAGCATCAGGCTGTCTAGCAGCTTTTAGGGCAGCTGGGGCCCAGCCGGGAGGTGGGCATCAGTACGTCCTCCTAGTTCTGCAGCAGGGCGGTGGCACTGCTGGCCCTTTGTCCTCACTGCTGTGTCCTGCAGCATCAGGCTGTCTAGCAGCTTTCAAGGAACCGACTGGCCACCCACAGAAAGACAGTTGGCTGGCATGACCCTCCCAGCCTGTGTGGTGCCACCTACACAGGGCTCAGGGCATCTTCCAGGGAGCCCCTGTGGGCATAATCTGGATAGGTGGAGTTTGGACCTCCAGGCACCCATTTTTTTCCTGACTGATTTTTACCACTCAGGATAGAAAGCTCTTTACAAACTTCTCAAACAGAGAAGGAAGAATCCTGTTTCAGCCTCGTACAGTGTCTCAGTCTGTCCTCAGGCTGTGTACAGAGTAAGAGTCACACTGGGCTGATAAGACAGTGTCTCAGGGGCCTGGACACTCATGGTCCGATGACCTGACACTCCATGACTTGCTTTTTTTTTTTTGGCGGCTGGTACAGGGATTGAACCCTGGACCTTGGTGTTACCTGCTCTGACCAACTGAGCTAATGGGCCAGCTCACCATGACTTGCTTCTTGAACTCAGTTCTGCTGTCTAGAGTCTTCCCTTCTTGCCCTCAGGACGGTCGCCACTTCCCTGTTTTCAGCAGAACTTGTCTCTAACAGCCTTCTTGCTGTTTCCCAGTTTCCTTCATATTTTAAGTCTGGGTCAGCAGAACTGTATGTAAAGTAAGCATCCATGGGTTCTGGATCAGGACCCAAATCACTTTTCTTTTTTTTGTGTGTGTGACCGGTAAGGGGATCGCAACCCTTGGCCTGGTGTCGCCTGCACCACGCTCAGCCAGTGAGAGCACCGGCCATCCCCATACAGGATCCGAACTCGCGGCGGGAGTGCTGCTGCGCTCCCAGCACTGCACTCTCCCGAGCAAGCCACGGAGTCGGCCCCCAAAGCACTTTTCTTAAGCAAGGAATCTATGTTCACTTTTCAAGTGGTGTCACCCACCTGTCCCTTTGCTTCTAGGATCTGAGCAATACCTTGATGCTATGTATGCACACATGCATGTGCGTGCCTGTGTGTGTGCCAAACAGAGGGTGCATGGTGCTCTAGCCTCTTGGCCTCCAGGATCTCAGGATCTTAAAGTGCTCTCTGGCCAGAGAGTTTTTTGCAGGCAGGCACATGCTAGCCTGTCCATGCACAGATGCAGAAACCAAGCCATGAAGGCTCGCAGAGGGCATGATTCCCTGCAAGCTCTTTGGCCATTCCCAGGGCAGAGGACTGCTCTCTTTTGTCCCTGGGTGGGGGACAGTGGGGCCACAGAATGAGCTCAGACACTGACTCCAGGCTGGGCAGCCCAGGCCTGGTGATCTCCTACTACAGGTAGACCCTGTAGTTCACCATCCCTGATGAGGCCCAGTAATGGCATCTTGGTTATTATGACTTGCCAACAAGATGCTCTCTCGGGCACTGGCTCGGCTTGTGTGGGGCTGGGAGGAAGGGTGGTTAAATGTCAGCAT